GACAAAAACTAAAAATTGATCAAATTTGTAACGAGAATTAATAAAATTATTATATACAGAACAATGGGTTTCTGTAGGCATGACCCAGAAACCATGGCAGTTATATTAGATTGGACGATGACTACGATGGACGACGACGATTCTTCTTTTATGTATTTCCTCTAATGTTTATGTTGTCAAAAAAATAAGTCAAAAACCATAGATTTTTGTTTTCTTACATAGACAGTAAATGTGAAGAAATGAATTATTTATCTTGAATAATATAACAAATTATTATTAACACTGCCTTACAGATAATCATACTACTGTGTCATGTTACAGTCATCTCATACACATCATAGGTTACTATTAGTGAAGCATTTTGTAAAATATGGTACTCCAAAATTCATACTAAGAATTATAGTGAACTCTCATTTGTCAAATACTATAAATTATAAAATAATTAAATAAGTAATTCTCTATAGTACCAAATTGTAGCAAGTGTAATGAAATTCCTTACTGGGCATTCATGGCTTTTACTTAAGTTTGAGTTATAAAATAGACTTAATAATAAATTACTTTTAGATTATTTAACAGCAGAATATTGCAATAAATATTGAGAACACAGAAAATTACAAAAACTAGTAACAAGCTGAGCTGTGATGAGTTACAGGTTATAATATACATACATCCTTCAACAAATATTACATTTATTCAAAGGGAAGCTCAGATATATAGTTAAGATATAGATAGAATTTCACTTCAACAGGGTTTGCATGGAAAAAAATAAATGAGAAGGGGTTGAGGCTCTCTTGTGAATATTTTAATAGAAAACAGAATACAAGATAGTGATAAATTTAACATTAACTCACAAGAACCCACTTAGAAAAGTATTTCTTAGGTTATAAGATGTTAAATTAAAATTTATTACAATTAAACTAGAATAAATATTCCAGATTGTTTTCTTTTTCAGTCATAGTGCTTCTACAGGGCCGCTTCGGCTGCTGGCCTTATGTGTATAAGGAAATGTTTATAACAATATAAAAGCAACAACATAAAGATAATTTATTTTATGTTATTAATTTAAATTTAGAATATACTGACAATATGTTCAAAATTTTTATAAAATAAGGAAAATTGTAAATTATATAAATTCGCAACCCTGTCTTCAAACATCTACAATTGTTAAGAATATCTAGGAAAAGGAGAGAGTATAATTAAATGGTTAACGAACTTGCCTTAAGTACAGTTCAACCATAATTATACGAAGCTCCTTGTCCTAGACGGTACTCCCGGCCCAACCCTCCCTGGGTTAGGGTTGCTCATCTAATTCCTTGCTTTAAACATAATGAAATTGCATTGACGGACGTGTTGATACAGTGTTGCCATATATACTGCTCCTTAAAATTTTTTTTAGCGAGCTTGGATAAATTGTGATGAGGCATGAAATACGGCGTACTACAATTGTTAAGAATGTCTAGGACAAGGAGGTTCGTATAAATATGGTTAAACTTCACTTAAGGTAAATTCGTTTAACCATTTAATAATACTGAAATCCAAACTTAATTTGTACTTTATTTCTTACAACAAAAGTTATAATTTGATGTTATTTTGCGTAAAAAGATCAAAAAAGACAACAAAATAAGGTTATTACGTAGAAGTAAAACAACGCAATTTGCGACCATTTGCGCAATTTGAATAAATTACTTGCGGGAACGAATTTTGTCCTTACGTTATGTTTTGCAGTTTACAAGCTTAATATATAGTAACCTATTTAATGTGTTTATATTTAAAAAATATAAGCCGTAAGAGTCTGATTTCCAAAATCATACATACATATATAAATTCTCACGATTCTGACAACCCTGCACATTCATATATCTATAGGGCATTAATTACTGACTCTTTGCCACTCATTTGTTTTAAAATAATTGCAACTGTAAAATATAAGTTGTCTTATATACCTTACTGTCGGGGTTTGTGGAAATTTGTACGGGACTCTACTAGTCTACGTTGATTATCACGTTCAATTTTAACTAATTTTTATCTCTCTTCGTACGGAGCGTTTTGCGGCATACCACACAGCGATGTCATCAGGACGATAATTATAGTTCCCCCCCATATTTGTCAAAATGTCAGGTGTTGAAAATAAATTAAGTGTAGTTAAGTACTTCTGTTAATATTATATAGTAGTAGTAATAATAATACGTATTATTTTTCTATTTTTTATTTTATTAATATGTTTAATATCTGTAGTTTTTTTTTAATAATTTACTATAATATAATTTTATTTTTAATTTTGATACCTATCATTGTCCGAGATTCCACCGTTGACTGGGAGAGAATACCAAAAAGCATTAAGTCCGCCCTTTAGCTATATATTACATACATATATACATACATTTCTATATAATATGTGTAACTGAGCGGTCACGCGAGTTCAGTGTTCAAATAAAGAAGTTTATAAATTACAAAAATGACTTCAGGTGACAATCTTTGCGGGAGACCTACCTACATATGTTTCGCGGTGGACTTGATGGGTATTTTTGATAGTGACATAGACGGATTATAATCAATTGAATAATTTCAAGTCGCCTGACGTAATAATTTGATATAAAATAGAATCGAGCCGAAAATATTTTATTTAGTTTAGATTTATTTAAAGCTCTTAATATGAATATTAAAATCTACCACCGGTTCAAAAGAACCGGCAGAGGGTTATTATTTGCCTTGTTTTTTTTCTATTTTGACGTCGTAGTTTCCCATATTAATATTAAGTGATGAAGTAAGAGACTAAGATAGTGATCGGGGAAGCTTCACAAGTGGAAAGGGCTGTAAAGATTAATGTAAACGTTAAGTGATATTATGTAAACGAAAAAAAATTAAAGATTAAGACGACGTCACGTCTTTAACACTGTCCTTAAACAAATGACTTGACTAAAGTTACAGCCTATATACGTCGCACTGCTGGGCACAGGCCTCCCCTCATTTCTGCGACGGTTTTAGGGCAAGGAAGTGTCCGCCGCGCTGCTCCAATGCGTGTTGGCGAACTTCACATGTCTTTGAAATATTTTTTTCTTATTGCTTAGACATGCAGGTTTCCTCACAAATGTTTTCCTTCGCCGCCGAGCATGTGGTAAATCAGCACTTAAAATTGCAATAAGCAATTTCATTGGTGCCGGCGGGGATCGAACCCGGGTTACTCGTGTTCTGTTATTTTTACAGTGAGTGATAACCATCAGTTACATGGTTCAGCCGGGCTAGCATGGGCAGGAGATAATATATCCCCGGGGAAGGGATAAAATTTATATCCCTTGCTTAGTTTTATCCACCATGCGAGCATGGGCAAGAGACAAAAATTATATCCCCCGATTATATCCACTGACAAGAGATAAAATTATCTTATCCCTATAGTATATTCCCGTTTGACATAACGAGTAGACATATATCTCCCCGTTCGTAGCATGGGGCTAAAGGAAAGGGAAAAAATTATCCCTTTTTGACAATTGAAAGGGACAATTTTATCCTCGTTCATGGACGTGGGTTAAGTTTATCTTCAAAGCATTTTAATACAAAACAGATGTCTCGAGTCTAATGCAACTACATTTTCGTATCAGAAATTGAAAACAAGAAAGAAAATTACATCTGCGATCGATACGTGATCATAGTACTTAATAATTAAAATAGGATGAAATAAAAAGTGGGCCTTATAGCTATACTTTAGTTTTTAAATTTTTACTTTAGTTTTTTAAAAAACGTTACCCCTACACTAAGGTTTTCTCTTGTATCGTGGGGTTTTACAAACATAAATTTTAGTTTTTAGTTTACAAACATAAATTGCACAAGGACAAACATCCAGACCCGGAACAACTATATGTAGGCCATACAAATACTTGTTCCGTGCGGGATTCGAACCCGCGACCCTCAGCACAGCAACTCATTGCTAAGCCACTGCGCCACGGAGTCGTCAAAAAAATACTAAATCTAATGTGTAAAATTAACAATGTGCAGAGATGTTTTCTACCGACTTCAAAAAGGAGCCGGTACTCAATTCGACTGTATGTTTTTTTTTTCGTTTTTTTTTTATGTGTGTTACCTCAGAACTTTTTTCTGGGTGAACCGATTTCGATGATTCTTTTTTTATTTGAAAGCTGGTACTTCTCGTGTGGTCCCATATAAATTTGATTCAAGTTTGACCAGCAGTTTTTCTTTTCGAAAAGAAATTCGCCTTCATTACGAAATGGTATATGGCATACTAATAAACTGTAATAATATGCTTCTTTGTCACTATTAATTGTATAATAGCGGGTACGTAACACTGCCGGTCTATTTCTTACACGCAACACTCGTATTGTCCTGCAATATGATATACCTCTCTGGCGTAATATCTTCGTCTCTCAGTTCCGCATCCCCATTGTCCTCTGACCATGTCGTGTTAGAGACGGTTTCAAAACGGACGGGAAATTCCGCAAGGCTTAAATTCTCCAGCTCGTTTGGCGTAATACATAACGATCAAAAATATTATTGTAAATACTGGTTTCATCACTATCAAATCTCAGGAGTCTGTAACGTTCCTCCGGGCTGCAACTATTCACAAACTTCTTTCGCGACGACATTTTCAATGGCAAATGGCATAATCTGTAAGCGCATTCGGGCGCACTCACCAAGCATTTATTTAAAATAGTCATTGATATTGAAAACAATTGTTTCCAAACATCACCACCTTGTCTCTTAGCATTCGAAATAGCTTCTCGAATTACATCACCTGTGTCATGTGGTTCGCATTTACTGCCATATTTTGCGACGTAGTAGGCCACAGCGGTGACATTACCACACGGTTGCACGTCAATATTTCCCTTCCATAGATTTAAAAGAACTGCATTGTAATTGTTTACCATGGTTTCATTTGAGGTTCATTTCAATATACAAAATCGTCCATTGTTAGCAAGTGCTTCATCTGGTCCAAGACAAACGGTGTTAACACTTGCTGGCTTTGGAAAATCAAATCGACAACCATCAGTTTAGCGATTTTTTTTGCATGTCGCAGTGTGTTTATGAATCTGTAAATCCTCAACTAATTTGCGCAACACAAGGTCATTAGGAGTTAATGAACATGAAACCACCCTTTCAATTACAGCAACTCCTTCTGGAGTGGTGAAATTCGGAACATTACTACACCAGACTAACATATGCAGATGTGGGCTACCGCGGTTTTGAAACTCCACTCGGTACCAAAAATCTTCAATAAGACCACCCAAGCAATCTTTATTTCTCTTTAAGAATCGCATGAGAGCGTTAACACGTACTGTGAACTGTCGTGCTAATACTACCGGATGTTTTTGCACTAGGTTCAAGCGCTCCGGGAATGACAGGCGATCGACGTCATCGATATCACGTCCATCAGCGATAAGCAAGGCTTTTATCATGTCTGGCCAATTTAAATCATTGCAGGAAAATGTTAAAAACCATGTGGGAGGCCCTAAAGTTCTAACCATGGCAATCAATTCAGAGCAACATTTCTGCCAATATGATGCCGATCCTCGAATATTTCTCATAGTGAGATGCATATTATCTACAAGTCCCTGTGGTGTTTGCTCTCCATGACCTTGTCGCATCCTACATGACACAGATACGCTTGATTTTGCACGAAAATATTCAACAATGGATAGAGCATAAAATAAATAATCATTTCTGTTGAACCTCTTGTCAATACTCATTACCCGGTTTTGAAAGTAATCAAGGGGGGTACACGCATTTTCTCTTTCCTCGCCAAAGCCATTCCTGCCATTTGGAAAAAGAAAATACCAAGATAATTCCTCCATACGGCGTTCACGTTCCAAATTCAAGGGAGGTGCAGTTTTCCTTGTGATTGCGGCCAATCTCATTGTATCATCGGTTGAAGAGCTATTCATATTAACAACAATTTCTAAATTAGGTACGTTATCGTCTATATTTTGGAGCATACCTGTTGATTCGATATAAATGGTGCTTAAGGAGTTATGGACTGGTAATGGCAACTGAAAATGGGTTGATTTTACCGGAACTGTTTTTTGGATAGACTGAATGACTTGTGTTGTTGTTTGGAGGGTATTACTTGTTTGTATTATTGGTTGGAGGGAATAGTTTGGTGTAAATGTTGGACTCTCTAACCTTGACGAATGTTCCAATATTGGCGTAATCGTTTGTATTTGGGAGTCTCGAGCTGTTTGTATTATCGGTTGGAGGGAATCGTTTGGTGTAAATGTTGGACTCTCTAACCTTGACGATTGTTCCAATATTGGCGTAATTGTTTGTCTTTGGGAGTCTCGAGCTATAACTAATGATGTTAACGAGAATACATTAAGATTATCTCGAAAGTTTCCTTCTGGCACTTTTTTTGGCGACACAAATAAATTGCGACGTAAAATAGCATGCAAATCATCCAGTTCACTAAATCGCATGCAACAAGCGGTACCATTTATGGGAGCGGAAGCCCCCTTGGGACCCCTTGCATGGGAATCAAACAAAAAGTAAGTTTGATTGTCACCTAAAGTTCTGCAATGCACTGCTATCGATATGGCGTTTGCTGTAAGTATCCCATTGGAGTGTTCTCTGAAAAAACTTAATAATGCATTTTTTAAATTAGGAAATCCATCGGAAGTATTATCATTGTCTATGTGGCCATTATGATTGGTTTCCTCAAGTACTGTGATCACTAAATTTTGTCTATTATATATAAGTCTTGGACTAAGATCTGAAACAGCAAGGTACTCAGGATTTACTTCGCCGGGCGCAGGATTATCTCTAGCAGCGATGCAGTCATTATAGTATTTATCGCCAATAATTACAATGTAATCAATATCACTTTTGGCCCACTTGTTTGGATCTAATACAATAAATGCTGCACAAGCAACAGCCGCTATCCCAGTACATTGCTTACCCTGAGATAAATTAAATCGTAAATCACCTTGATTAAATGATCCGCGTAATATTGCCTTGTTGTCATTTAAAGTGATATAATGTTGTGATAAAGTTTCAGAAGCAACGCCATCCTGTTCAGGAATAGAATTTTCAGCTATTTGTAATATATGAGGAATATTTAAAGTAGTTTCAAAATGTACCTGAACATCGCTGTAAAGATGGTTATTGGAAATTAACCAAGTTAATGCTCGATTCAGTCTTTGCATATCCACGACGAATTCTTTAGAACATGAAAGGTTCTCGAGACTTTCCACTACCAAAACTAAACCAGCTTGATTTGGTGTCAGTGGTAACTGTTCAGCAATTTCCACAACATCCTTTGCAAATAGAACGACCTGCCCTTTACACCAATTTTGACTGAACCGGTTATTAAGTTTTACAATCTTTAAAAACGGTACGATGCGGCTTAAAAATCGTTCTTCAACGCTCGTCAAATTGACTAATTCAGGCGGTACTTCTGCGGGCATCATTTTATTCCAATATGCAGTTGTTGGAATTTTGCTTTTCCTAATATTATGGCTACATCGAGAGCACGTAGTTATTGTACCTAAAGCAACCAGTTCTTCAGGTAATAGTATACTATACATATTTGCTCGTAAATTGGAACGCTGTTGAGGATAAAGGCTTCTTTTACAAACGGCGCATGGTACATCAGCAAAAATATTAATAGCCGCTTCAAAAGATTGTTCATTTGTGATGTCCCTACAAGCTTGATTAGCTTGTTGCATTCTACTAAGTCGATCTGAACGAGTTTCAGGTGTTTCGTTTGATAAGCGATCGCGAATCAATCCGAGTCGGTGGGCACGTTGCTCTTCCGTCTCATTCGATAGACGATCGTGGATCACACCGAGGCGGTGAGCACGTTGCTCTTCTGTCTCGTTCGATAGACGATCGTGGATGACGCCGAGGCGGTGGGCACGTTGCGCTTCCGTCTCATTCGATAGACGATCGTGGATCACACCGAGGCGGTGAGCACGTTGCTCTTCCGTCTCGTTCGACAGACGATCGTGGATCACACCGAGGCGGTGAGCACGTTGCTCTTCCGTCTCGTTCGATAGACGATCGTGGATCACACCGAGGCGGTGAGCACGTTGCTCTTCCGTCTCGTTCGATAGACGATCGTGGATCATGCTAGGGCGGTGAGCACGTTGCTCGTGCGTCTCATTCGATAGACGATCGTGGATCATGCCAAGGCGGTGGGCACGTTGCTCTTGCGTCTCGTTCGATAGACGATCGTGGATCATGCTAAGGCGGTGAGCACGTTGCTCTTGCGTCTCATTTGATAGACGATCGTGGATCATGCCAAGGCGGTGGGCACGTTGCTCTTGCGTCTCATTCAATAGACGATTGTGGATCACGCCGAGGCGGTGGGCACGTTGTTCTTCCGTCTCATTCGATAGGCGATCGTGGATCAGGCCGAGACGGAGAGTACGTTTTTCGATATTTTCCCTGTACAAAACTTTTTTCATGTAAGCCCGCATTATTGAAAGCCTATTTTTGCGCTCTTCACAAGTCTCTTTTGAAATGTCAATTGAGGTAGATTTCCTCTTTTGAGATAGACGTTTCTCCCTTTCTTCGTTTGTCTCATTTAAACGGTGCTGTCTCATATGAGCAGCGTGTTTGCTAGGTCTACCCATTTTCAAACAAATAAAATCAGTTATCGAACTTCAGAATCACTAAAAATAGAAAAATAAACAAAAATTTTAACAAAATAGAATACCGACTTCAAAACAAAATATTTTAAAACAATAAATGCACTAAAAATTTTAAAAATAATTGCGTATTCTTGTATCTACAACTTACAATCAACTTATTTTTTCTACTCAATGTACGATCTATGCGTTTACCACGCAAGAAGGTAGGTACCGACTTAAACTTCACATCTAATTCAACACATATCTATGATTCACAAACAATTATCAAAATATTTTTTAGAGTTCAACTAAGCAAAAATTTTCAAATATATGTGTAGACTGCTTAAAAGACAATCAAATTATTAGGATAATATAATCTACAATTATTGTCATTTTTGGAGTCGGTGTCAGCCAAGGAAATACGACAATGTACCTAGCAATAATACTACGAGAATTCCTGGAAATACGCTTTAATACGAAAATATGGTGTGACAATACCTATGTAACAACATTAATACAATAAACAAAATACCAATAACCTAATTAATCCTATTTACAAATTAACTTATATACAATGTGATGTGACAATACCTAAGTAACAACCTTAATACAACGAAATACCAAAAATAATTAACCTATTTCCAAATTAATTTTAATACAATAATATTCTGTGACAATACCTATCTAACAACCCTAATATAACAAAATAGGTACCAATGACATTACTTAACTAACAACCTCAATGCAACAAAACACCAATACCTAATTAAACCTATTCATAAATGAACATTAATACGACAATATGCTGTGATAGTACCTAATAACCTTATTACAAAAAACAAAATACCAATACCTAATTAAACCTATTTATAAATGAACATTAATATGACAAAATGCTGTGACAATACTTATCTGTTAACCTTAATACAATAAAATACCAATATATAATTAACCTATTTCCAAATTAACTTCAATACGACAATATGCTGTGACAATACCTTTCTAACAACCTTAATGCAACAAAATAACAATACTTAATTAAACCTACTTATAGACGAATATTAATACGACAATATGCTGTGACAATATCTAGCAACCTTTATACGAAAATGTAGCTTTAATAATAAACATAAGGAATTACAGTAAGAAAGACGGTGTAGAATGAAAAAGAATTGGAATCGGTTTATAATCAAGTAACTCGTATATGTTCTTTTTCTTGACTGGCGAATGGCCGGCGTACGCGTTTGGCTCGCTCACTTCTGTAGCCTTCTCACCCTCCTTCCCCGCGCCCGCGTCGATAAGCCCGCGCCGAGTGCTGCGTCTATGTGTGTAAATTGTGTATGCCAATTGTTATCTATGTTATGATTATAGTAAGACATCTCACGTTTAAGTAGTTAGAAATATACCTTGGCTGACACCGACTCCAAAAATGACAATAATTGTAGATTATATTATCCTAATAATTTGATTGTCTTTTAAGCAGTCTACACATATATTTGAAAATTTTTGCTTAGTTGAACTCTAAAAAATATTTTGATAATTGTTTGTGAATCATAGATATGTGTTGAGTTAGATGTGAAGTTTAAGTCGGTACCTACCTTCTTGCGTGGTAAACGCATAGATCGTACATTGAGTAGAAAAAATAAGTTGATTGTAAGTTGTAGATACAAGAATACGCAATTATTTTTAAAATTTTTAGTGCATTTATTGTTTTAAAATATTTTGTTTTGAAGTCGGTATTCTATTTTGTTAAAATTTTTGTTTATTGTTATTGTTATGTTTATGTTATTAAATATACAATAAAACAGGTTGGGCATGAAATAAAAATAAGAGAAGAAAAAAATGTAAAATGGATATAAATCAATGTATTCCTAACTATTAAAGTGAACGACAAATTCAATTTTTTTTGAGCTAGTGCTTAGTTTAGCTGGCCACTACACGTAAAACAAACTTATCACGGAATGGCGAAAAGGGATACGTTTTACAAAAAAAAAACACTATTAAAAAACTGCTTACCTAAAAAATTTGAAATTTCACCCACAGTAAGGGCATGAGTTTGTCCTCTATATACAAAAAAATGAAGGGGGGTCGTTACTCAAAAATAAAAGTTATTAGAGTACAATTTAGCAGGGATGGGAGATATGATAAGGATATAGAACGACGAGTGAATGCGGGATATAGAGTAAATGGGGCCCTGCACTCTATTGTGAAGAGTCAAAATGTGTCAAAAAAGGCACGTATGACAATTCACAATGCTGTGTTGGTCCCTACTTTAACGTATGGTAGTGAAAGTGGATGTAGCAGAAGAAGCACGAGATTAGAATCAACGCAGTAGAAATGCGGTCGTTAAGGAGTATGTTAGGGCTGAATCTGAACGACAGGGTAAGAAATTGTGTAATAAGAGAAGAGTGTGGTTTGCAAGATGATTTTGTGACCAGGATTAAGAAAGGAATGCTTCGGTGGTTTGGTCATGTGGAAAGAATGAATGAGGAAAGAGTGACAAAGAAAATGTATGTTGCAGAAGTGAATGGCGGAGTCGAAGGGACGTCCTGGCGAAAATTTATCGACCAAATTGGCGATTTATTGAAAACGAGCCAAATTAGGAGTACCGTTAACCGACGAGCATGTATGCGTAGGTGTATGGATGTAAAGGAGGCGAGAGAGGTGTGTCAGGATCGTGCCAAATGGAAGTCTGTAGTCTCTGCCTACCCCTCTGGGTGACAGGCGTGAGTGTTTATGATTATGATAGAGTACAAACTTACAAGACGTGGGACACCAGTTGCAAAAGTGTGGTTATTCCGAGGATATATACTTCCGGCTGATGTAGCATATATTTTCGGAAAGAGCTTTCCGAGACGCCGCAAGTAACACCTTCAATTCCAGCCGCAGACTCCTGGTTCGCGAAACCACCAACCACGTGGTTTTCGTTTTTCCTCTAATAACTCAGGTGTCCTTTATCCAAAAAATCCAAATTTTTGGAGGATGATGTGTCCCTAGGTGGCGCACAAAATCACTAAAAAGGTTGTACAGGTTGTGGCGACTAATCGAGCGCCGCAAGAGATTTACTCTTTTGTTAATATGAGAAAAAACGGGTATTCACTTAAAAAATCACTAATAATTGTTTTGCGGCTAAAAAAAATTACACCACTAGATGCGTCTCGTTAATACGCAAATTTTGACGCTAAGTACAATAAGTTCTGATAATTATTTACCACTTTTCGAATTTTTAACTGCAGGAGCGTCACAGTTTCGTGGCGTTCCGCTTTGTTTCCTTGAACGTGCCCTTCTTTTACTTCTTTATAGTTTATAGCTTTATACTATGGTATATTATCTATGCGCGGGGATAAGTTTATCTACTGTCGATATTATATCCACCATAGGCCCATGCTCGCAGGGTGGATAAAGCTTTGGCATAGGGATAAGATAATTTTATCCCTTGTCAGTGGATATAATCGGGCGATAAAATTTTTATCCTCTGCCCATGCTAGCCCGGCAGTAGTATTGCCTTATCTCATAAAAATTGACTTTCATCTAATAAATGATTAAAGTTACACTCTCCTTCTTTTTACTGAATAACAATAGAATGAGACGAGAATAGAGAGCATTAGAACTCTTTTAAGCCGTTTAATTTAGGTAAGCGATAATCAAGGACTAGGATAGGTAATGCTGTAAGTTTTTAGGTTTCAGAACATCTAAACGAATTGCTTTATTATATCTAGCTACTAACTTGTTATTTTGTTTCTATATAATCTTCTCTCAATTGCTGTTTTCATTATCATCATCATCATTACAGCCTCTGCTGAACATCTAAACTCCACTGCTAAATACAGGCCTCTAACAAATGTACAAATTGTTTCACAATTTATACATTTGTCAATAATCGATATAATAATAAGAATCTATGCTGACTCTACCCGGCTTCGAACAACTGTTATCTAGATCTTAACAAATATATATTTAGTAGAGCTAGGCAACCGCAAATTTTTATGATAGCACACCTCTAAGTGAGAGATTTGGGCTTTACTGTCGACTAGACAGGGTCACGCTACCCTTTCTCATTTAATTCGGTCTATTATTTAGATTTGTTACGAGAGAAAAGGTGAAGATGTTAAAATTATTAAGAACTTTCATTAAAAAAAACTTAATTTTTTTAAAAAAATTTTCATAAAAAAATATCTTGTGGTGTAGGGATGTGTGGTGACGGGGATAGGTAAAACATTATTTTTATTTTTTACGCTGATGTAAGCTCAATAATTATTACTTTTTTATTATAATAGATTTCCACAAAGTAACGCGTTATTCGTGTATAATTATTTTCTGACAAACTTGTCATTCTTTTGATATTCGATATTCATTTAATGTACAATGGTTTTCATGACCAACCTGTCAATTATTCTATTATGATGATTAGGTTACTCCATAGATAATTACCATTTCAGCAAGCTAAAGGAGATGGCCAAAAACTGTATGAACCTATGCCCCAGACTGTACAAAGATGAAATCTATGTCATTTGAAAGTACAGATCTTCTATATAAAGAATTAGAAAAGTACATGTAGCTACGCAGTAGTGGACAAAAGTTATGAAGATTTAAAAAAGTTGATTTTGGCAGTCGATTTTTGTCATTATTACATAATGTAGATATAAATAAAGTTCCAATTCATGAGTGTTATGTAGGTTAATGTGTATGCATGATGATTAGGATGTATCCTAACCGGTTTAGCTACAAAACAAGGACAGCAGTTTTTTTCAGTCTTTGAAATTATTATTTGTAACTAGTTTTTATAACATGATCGAAGTATATTAGACAGAAAATAAGTTTAATTATTTTCTGTCTAATACACCGTATTACACCGTCTATAATTGGTGGAGCACTCGCTTGGGGCTACGGTATTTATTAAATAAAAGTAAAATACAATAAAACACAAATACGAAGGAAAAGCTTACATATATTATATACCAAAAAAACGGCGCGTAGGTCGGTAGACGTGAATCAGATCAAGT